CTTTAGCTTGCTGTTGTCAGTGTAGTAGAAACTTACTGGTCAAATAAACTTTATACAGTAAGAAGAGCAGAATCCAGAACCCCAATCTATTAAATGAGAAACATCATCACGAATATATGACTCTAAAAGTATTCCTTGGAGAGTAGTTGATGCCATGTAACAAAGCAGGAATAATCAGAACAGGACTGGAACATTCTGTTGTGACAACAAAGCAAGGATATTTTAAAGAATGTCAGGGACAATGCTCCAAGGACAGAGGAGCTGCCATAAAGAGCTCCCACTGACCAAACTAAATCAATCTGCTCCATCAGAAAAGAACTCATTTTGGTTAAGTCTGTGAAAGGCCAGGAGTTCAAAACAATGACCAAAAAAAGAATGGTATAAAGGAGGTTGTAATACAAAGAGAGAGAAAATAAGACGTGTATAATTATATGTACTGATTTTAACAAGTTGGGAAGTACTGTATTATCAAAATCCAGGTGCTTTCTTTTTCTGTAATTGTCTATAGTCTAGAATATGCACTTGTTTCTACCCTATCTATTCTACATATGCTACACGAAAGAATAAAGACCAGGAACTCTGAGTAAGCCAAATAGTCCTAAAAACCCAAGTGCATGAAGATAAGGAAGGACTGAGGAACACAGGTAGCGACAAAAACAGTCAGGTGGGAAGAGGGTCTGGCAATGATGGTCACACTCAATAGTCAAGCAGAGAGAGGATCCAGAAACATGATCTGAGATGATAAATCAGCCAAATGGCCCAAATAGCATTAGGTAGAGTCAATCCCTCATCTCCTCTGGGAGAAACCTCTAGAAAGCCCAACTAATTTCAAGAAAATAGTCAAAAGGCATACATAAGCTTTTAATAATGTTAACAGATCAGATCAATACATCATTATGACAGGACAACGGGTTATGTAACACTGGCCAAAGAGATGTAGAAGTAAATCATTTCTGGGTGATAGGGGATGGGGTGGGAGCGGGGGCCAGGTTATAAATAAGAACCTACCTGAAAGCCATATACTGAAAAGTAAAAAAAGGTCTGATTGATTTCACAAGTAAAGCTCAGCCTGATGCCCAGCAGCCAGGACCTGTCTGACTCTCCTGCACACTGGCACCATGTTCTGACCAACAACTGATTGGTCAGAAATCAGAACTGCAACATGGACAGGCTTGCAGGGGTGTTCCTTTGTTTCTGGTGCCCATAAGATCATGTCGACTCTGGGTAGTTATCAAAATATTAAAGTCCTAGGAGGAGTCAAAATTAGTGTATAAATAATGAAACGAGTGGAAGCTGTAGTATGGAGCTTTTCGAAGAAGTTTAAGTGTTGTAAGCTTGTAATGATGCATCTGGGCATTTCACTATGCTTTCGGGTATTTGAAGTGTTAAAAAAATCAGTTCTACTAAATTTAATTGTTTAAAGGGATTCAATTTTATAACTAATGTTTAAACATTTAACAGTTGTTTAACATATTGAGCAATAAACAGCATGCAAAAGGGCTCTTTTTTTGTATAAATGGCCTCTAGACAGTAAAAAAAATCAGTAGGATTAAACTCAGTAGCAAGGCTCTCACTCCTTGAACTGGTTTCTCTTCATTGCACAGATGGTAAAACATTCCAAATGAAGCCACAAAAAGAAAACATGCCATATACACATTTTAAGTCCAAAGACACCCAGTCAGAAACAGTGGTTTCCCTTGGTGTTGAGATAATGGGTAATACTTTAGCTTTTCCTTTGATATTCTTTCTGAATTTTCCAGTTTTTTCCACAATGAGTGTATTTTATTTTTTATTTTAAATAAGAAAAAGATAACAAACATTTCTTTGAAAAAAAGAATGAGGCCGCCCATTCCTGAGGTATCTCTATAGGAGGCAAAGCTTGGGGAGTTCCTTCGGGGCTGCTGTGCTCATTCATGATGTCTGAGCTTGAGAACATCCNTTTTTTTTTTAATTACTACTTTAGTAATTTCATATCAGTTTAGAAAAGGGAGTAAGACAACTGTACTTAGTGACCTTGACACAATTGTTTCTACATTATCTTTTTTGTTTATCCAGTCATTTATTTAATTACTATTTATGGAATATCTACTATATAAAAAATATTTTTTTCTCTACATGCTGTCCTTAAAGGTACTTAATCTGTCACAAAACAGGTTTTTTTGGTAAAGTGAACTAAAACAATTTACTAAACTAAAGTGTTGATTTTTCCCTTTGGTACTAAAGATATTAGGACTATTTCCAATTATATAAATCTCACGATATGCAAATATTCTGGCTTAATTAAAAGTTACCACTAGGTGGTGCTGAGAAGTTACCACTTCTGGATGGAAGTGTTTTCTTTTAAATTTATTTTAAATCAGGTTTTCTTAAGGTAGTATGGATCAGGTAGAAATTTCATGTGCATATACATATTTTCACCAAAATTAAAAAAAATGTTAATGTATATATTTTATATGGCTTCAATTTTCAACATTGTTTCTGATGTTAAGGTTGTTTAAACTATTAGCTTTAAAAAGATTGGTTTTTACAGTGTTAAGAGAAGTTTTATACCAAATCTCTGTATGGGAGGTACTTTCAAGCAGATTGCTGCAAAGAATCCGCAATAGCAGTCTGCTCCATTTACATTCAAATGAGCCATTCATTACCTGAAGCATATAGGAAATCCAGTCTTACTCTTACAAAAAAAACCCAAAAACCCCCATCCTAGTCTATATTATAAAACACCAATTTCTTGTAGCTCTTTAACACTGACCTAATTAAGTACCTGTAGTGCCTAAGAGCCAACACAAAAGGTTGAGAGCGTTCCAAAGAAAGCTGTGGAATTAATGTCACCATTGCTTCCCATGTATATGAAAGCACTTGGTGTGAAACAGAGAGCCTCTTGCCACACCAAAGTACAGTGGCGCACTTGTATTGCTGAGTGAGGCCAGCTACAGAGGGGTTGTCCTAAGGTACCTTAGTCTCCCTGGCCCATATGCTCCTGTTTATACAAATAATATCAATTTAAGTCCAAAAAGCAAGAACGTAAAAAAAAAAAAATAGTAGTAGGGTTTTCTCTAGACTTTCAATATATACATTAAAAGGTTCTATAATAATGAAATGCAAACTTAAAAGGCAAGAGCTGAATTTATTTCAGCTTTTCTGGAGCACATCATGTGCAGTTCATTGTATGCTGTAACATGTGAGATGAATGTTTGTAAATGAAAGGCTCAAGGTTGACCAGAAAGATCACAGGACTAGAATGAGATGCCCTATGTCCTGGCCCCAAGACTGGCAATATCTGGATGTGTGACTCTGAGTAAGTCACATAACCCAAGCTTTCAGTCCCTCATCTATGAAATGAAACTTCCCAAGGTCCTCTCAGTTCTAAGTTCCATGACTCTGCATTTTAAAACATCCTAAATATAACAGCTGCGCTGAAGTTCAAGTCTGATGCCACTGTTCTTTTTATTTTCTTATTAGTAAGGAAATACTTGACTCTCTTCTGAGGACAATGACTGGCTGAGTCAGTAACAACAGTACAGTTTCTGGTGTCATAGCCTGGTATGCAATCTCAACTCTGCCATTCACTAGCTGTGTGACCTTGGGCAGCCTCTCTGTGCCTCAGTTACTCTGGCTATAAAATGTGATTAATAACAGTACCTACCACACAGGTATATTGTGAGGATCAAATGAGATTACACCTATAAGGTACTTTGAACAGTGCCAGGCACATAATTAAAAATTCAGTNCTGATCTGCCTCGCCTGGGAAGAGCGCAATGATGGTGCCAACTTGGGCCAGTGAAGCAACGTCCTCCACAATTAGACTGAAGAACAAAAGGACAGCAACTTGTCTGTTGCCCTTCCCCCAATTCCCCAATAAAAATCTTAAAAAAAAATAAGAAATGTCTTAATCCTAGGGTCCTTTTCCCAAATATGCAGGGCTTATTTTATGGATGAAAGAAAATAAAAAGTGCCATGCCATTATTAAAAAAAGAAAGAAAAGAAAGACATGTCTTCAGCAAAAAGGTGGAGCCATTTCTAAACAAGAACTTTAGGAAGAAGCTGTTTCACATTTCATAGATGCGGGGAAAAGCAAACCTGGTTGAGTACAAACAAAATAATAACTTTTCTCCTCTGATCAATATAGAGGAAAAAAGGGAATAAAAAATATTGGGATAAAAAAAACATATTGGCCCATTTCCTTGGTAACTACATTGTAAAAATTATAAAGATAAACAGCGTTACCTGTGAAATTTACTTTGCCCAACAAATCCTGAATCTGAGGTGCTATTCCTAGTTTGAAGAGATACAGACTGAAAGATAAAACATACAATTATCAGAAACTTTATCATCATAAATATGAGAGCTAGAAATAGCTTAAATCTTAAGGGCTTTTTTAGTTGAGAAAAACCTAAGAGATTATCTCATGTAATCTATTCATTTTGTAGATGAGGAATTTGGGTCCTGAGGTAACATGGTCCCTGGTGGGATGGGGACTAAACCCCAGTGTCTCAAAGCCTGGTATTGTGCAGCACATGGCACTTCTGTAGAGTCAACTAACTCTCCACCATCCATGTGCAGGAAGAATAAGAAGTACAACTGATTCAAAACATTTAATAAATGCAGTAAGCATTTCCTTGGATATTCCTTACATGATTCTTATTTTGTTGAAAGTGCAGGTCAAATTATTATATTTTCCTTTTCAATATTCCTCCAAGTACCATCCACTCCTTGAGGAAATATTTGTTTTACACATTCTGAACCAATAAATACAGTGGCAAGACTATGGATGGATGGGGCGATGTTAAAGATAAACACTGATGTAAGCATTATTACTAAGTGGAAGATGGAGAGAAAGTTGTATATTTCTTTAAAAATCCCTTAGGAAGTAATGAAGTAATTTGTCATAACCTGACAAAAGGAGCTGAGAGCTGGCATCTGCATTCTACCAAAGATTAAAATATATGGTTATGTGGCTTTTCCCACTTAATCACTGAGCCATCGTTTCTGTCCCATATTTATCCTAACCTCCCCAGCCCCCAAGATTAATTCTACAGACCAACTAAAAAATTGCGTATTCACTTTATTACGGATTTTGATAGGTTTATAATCTGTGAGATTGTAATTAGAAATTAGAAAATACATATATGGGAAAATGAACTGAGAATGATTTTGATGGCTTGAAATATTTCAAAATTATCACTTGTGATGCACATGTGAGATGGATCCGTGTAGTTTATAAAATACATAAAACTTCAATAAAGGAGTTCAAGATCAAGCCTTCTTAATGGTATTAAACAAACTCTTAAAAGTCTGACTATTCAATGTAAATAGCATGCATTGAAATTAACATTCCTTATCATTCAAAACAATCATTTAGAAAAGTATTCTATGATATATGAACATATTATAATTTACTTAACCAATTGCTGAGCATTTAGACGGTCACTAAATGTTCAGGATGGCAGTGAATATTATATATAGAGAATACATCTTTGTGCATATACCTTTTTGTTACTATAAATTCTTAAAAAAAAACCTGCCAGATTGAAAGCGTACACATACAATCAAAGCTTCCAATATACCGTTAAATTGTGTTCTTAAAAAGAGATTATACTCATTTAAGCTTTGTGAATAAAAGGTTAAGAAAACCGCTTTCCTTTTTGTGAGAGAATCTCACCTTTAGTTAACTTTCTAGCTCTGTTCCTCTAGGAACCTGATAAAGGTATAATAACAACTGGATTACTAACCATCGTTGCTTAGGAGAAAAATAACCTCCGATCGATAAATTGCATTTTGACTTGAAGGCTTTATAAATATCTAATAGGCACAGCATTTTTAGGTGTTCCTGAGTTCAGTGACTCTTATAGCTGGCACGCTCCCTGCAGGGAACTGGGAAGCCATGCTGTGCGGCTGTTACAATGGATACTGGCTGAGGCTCTAAGACAGGGAGGCTCTTGCACCCACCAATATGAGACTTACTCCTTAGCACCCAAGTTGTCACCTGAGGTACTAAAGGGAACAGCTTCCAGATGGCTGAGTGACAATTATGTTGAGTGCCATTAAGGCCCAAAGAAGAGCACTTATGTGATGCTGTCCTGCCAATAGGCTGGGTTTCCAGGCTATGTCTGTCCTTCTGAGCAATGAGTGCCAAAAGTGGCTTATGGCAGGTGTCAGAGTCTAAATATTTAGCTGAATCTAAGAACTGCTGATGGGCATGGTCCCCACTCTACCACCAATACATGAGAATGGCATTTTTTTTGTCTCCTTATTGCCACAGGACACTGTCGATGAAAACCTTGCCAATCTGATGGCCAAAAATGTTACTTAAATCTCCATTTCCTTTGGTTAGTTGTGAGGGTAAACATTTTTCATGCACATATTGGCCATTTCCATTTCTTCCAGGAAATGCTACTAATGAATTTTTGAACTTTAAAGATTGATTGTGTCATGAACTTGAAACCATTATATCAGTAGTAATTATTAGTATCATTATTGCCTTTGTAATAAAGAAGATATATATTATATTGTATCCTGTTGTAGGTATTTAGTTTTGGGTTTTTGTTTTGTTTTTATCTCTTTTATTGCCCAGTACAATGCTTGGTTCATAGCAGATAATAAATGTTTGTCAAATAAAAGAAAGAATAATAAAAAAAAAGATAGATTTTGGGGTGATTTATCTTCCTTTGGTTTCCCACCCCTTTCCCCACAAAACCACAACCAAAGGACAAAGAACAAATGACATGTAACCATACAGTAATTTTAGTACTAAATTCCAATATGATATTCATATCTTATCCACAGAGGAAAACATATTTGACTCTGAACAGTCTTCAATGTAAAATAGACATTATGTATTCATAATTCAAAGCCAGAAAGACAGAATACATTGTGTACTTCAAATCCTAGATCTTTAGAGATTATCAGGGATATAAAGCTATTTACATAGCCCCTAAAGACTTTACTGCTAAAGGTTCATGCCAAACAAGTCATTATAATCAAAGCTAGTACGCTGACAGTTTCAAAACCATAATGTTTTATGAACCACTTTTCAACTCATTACTACATGGGGAAAATATTCCACTTAAAAGGGAGCTCATGTCATGTAGAACAAATGAGATGTCAACCTCTCTACTTTCCCTTTCTAGTAGAGAACTACAAAATTCAACAGAATTAAACAGATAGGCACGGTAAAGCTGCGAAGAATTCTAAGAAAATAAAATCAAGCCACACTTTAAGAAGTGAAAATAGATCTATAAGGAATAAAAAATGTACCATTGTACCATTTCAACTTCTTTCATAATACCTGATTTGCATTTTCCGCTTCTCTTTTTACAAGTAAATTAAAAATTATACCTGAACTAATCTACAAAAAACTATAAAAGTAATTCAATGGCAGAAACATTGAAAATGTGACAGTAAAATTTAAATAGGAGACACCCATAAAATGTCTTCTAACACAAATTTTATATCTATAACTATTTCAAGTATTTAATGTGTTATATTTATAATATGTATTACTGCCATTAATATTCTGCTAAGGTTTTAACATACTTTAAACTTATATTCTTGTATCAAAGCCTAAACTAACGAACATCTATTATCTTTAATATATTTCCACTTCTATTTCCCCACCTATACAATGTTGAGATGGCCTAGCTTTTATTTTCATATTATGTACCAAAACTTTAAATATACATTTTATTAGTTTCTCTTCTAATTTAATCTATATCCAATTTTCCTCTCTTAGTTTTATCTTTGGTTTTGTTGTACATGAGTGTTCAAAATTATTAAATACATAAATTGAATAAACCACCAACTGCCTACATTTTAATATTTTAATTTGTTCCTTGGGTGTTGGTTCTGTTTATTGAATCTAATGCCTCTTTCATAGTGTTGGTTTCCCTCAAATATCTAGCATTTCTAGATTTGGGGTTCCTCTTGGGGTTTCAGATTTGCTGTTTGTCACTGTTGATCACAGGTTCCCATGACAGTAAGACGCCTTAAAGGAAACTGTGGGGGAACAACGGGGCTGAAGTCACGAGGGTGTCCAGTGTCTTGCCTTCTTAGATTGGGGCTCCCTGTGCCTTCCTGGGGTCATCAGCTGTCTTGGGTGCTGGCATGCTACCTTGCCTTCAGCACCTATACTTGCTGCTTTAGGGAAGCATCAGAAGGCTCTGCTGGTCTGAGCCCTGTTCTGCTGGCTTTGAGGCTCTCCTTTTTTGGCTCTTTGGAGCAAGCTCTGTGACACCTCCCAGTTCTGTTGCATCTCTCAGTGGTTTCCGGGCTGTGGTCTTTTCCTGTCTTGTTTCTCAGTCCATCCAATCCTATCTGTTTGCTTTCTGCTAGGAGTTGTTTAAATGTCTGTTCAGTGGATGGCATCCTTTCTTATTGCAAATGATTTTTTT